AACAGTCACATTCCTTGATGTTTTGTATTTAGTATTTTGGCAAGTGACAGTTCAACTCTTTCATGTCAACTTTCAGCGCGAACTTAGTCTGTATGAGAACTTGACTATAATAAAAGTCAACATCGCTAAATGAGGTTAATGATTTCAAATGTCGCAATTGATACCTACAATTTGGCTTACATTTGTGAAAATAGTTTGATTTCAGAAGGCATAGTTGAACATTTCTGGATTTGTGGAAGTTTTGATAAAATTGTGTAGAGAATTCGGAAAATATAATCTGGCAACACCAACAACAATGATAGTACTCGTTTATAGCTAGTGGCAGGCTGGTGTTTCTGCTGCTATCGCAGATGGATGGATACACATGTTTCGTATGGCGATGCATTCCAGAAAATTCCACGCAATTACGACTTTTTATCGGAGTCGCTACTCTCAATTGATCCCGCGGTAATTCATTTCTCGACCATCATTTATCATACAGAGTGAGGCCAAGTTTGCTCCGTGGGAATATCCACAAAACCATACCGCAGTTGGTACGGGAAAATTGGAAATGGTCGAATTTTAGAAACCGCTTTTTTCCGCACTGCAAGAAATCAGTTTATTTTTAGTGGATTAACACAATTTGCTAACAAGCGGTCGTCTGTAAAAATACAGCCACTACAAAAACGTTTCTTTCACCTGTTGAAGAACTGCATCTTTCTGAAATGAAATTTCCAAAAGATGGCAGTACGGGGTACATAGTTATTTTGTCTCACAGAATATGCAGATGTGGATTTCTTCTTCATTGTCGTCATCTACACCTGCACTGGCTGTATGTGCCTAACATCCACAGGCCACCCAACTTTCCGAGTTGGGTGGCCTGTGTAATTATGATTAAGGTCCATGCAATAAATGCATAAAGCGTCCTTATCTATATTTTCAACGTCGGAGTGAACTTTTTTAATCTTTTGTTTCTTCAAGTCTTTTTTCAACCCTTCTTTTGGATTTGAACATTTCTTCGTCCTTTGAAGTCGTTCTCTTTCTTCAAGTTCGTTTTTGTAGGGTGTTGAAGTAAGAACGGTTTTTCCTCTGCGATCATTTTTTCTCGTTTGGTTTCTTTGTTGCACTGCTGGGATTGCGGGAATATCTTTAGGAGAAGCATTTTCAAAAGTCATTGTTAAATCACGACAAATTTTACGGATCGTGATGGTCCAGGCTGAGGCTCTGAGATAGGAGTTCCTTGTGAAGACTGTGAAATAGGAGATCTTTCAAGAGGTGGGGTCATAGCAGAAAAAAGTGATGCAGGGGGAATTTCAAGGGAAGGCGGTTGTTGTTGCTGATCTTCATCAGTTGCAGGAGCTGTTTCGGGCTCGTCATTTGCCAATGGAACATCTGTTGTTGATGCAGCTAAAAAATCAGAATCTGAAAAGTTGTTTTGATTGAATGGCCATATGCCACATTTTTTGAACGCATTGATAGCTGTAGACATTGTTGCAGCTTGAATATAAGCATCAGCAAATATTTCACTGATCTGAAAAGTTGTTATTACACGCCCCGGTTGCGACCTTAACCAGTTAGTGCAAGCATGGTCATAATATACACTCGATGGTTTCATGAAGCCAACATCTAAGGGTTGCAGCCTATGGGTGCAGTGCGGGGGAAAGAAAAGCATTATGACACCATTCTTGCGTGCATGTTCAATTACTTCTATGTTTTGCGTATGTGTAACATGACCATCTAAAAGAAGTAAGACTAGTGTAGCTAATGATGATCCTGAAAAGTTGACGAATCGTTGGAACCATGTCATAAAGGTCTCAGTTGTCATCCAGCCTCGAACATTGCATTCTGCTGTCGTTCTTGGAGGAGCTCGATCCAATAACTCCTGCTCCATTCTTTGTCGGGGGAATATTAACATGGGAGGCATATAAGTACCAGCCGCATTGAAACATATCTCAACCGTAATCGTTTGTCTTCGTTCTGCTGATGAAAGCGATCGGTTCCGCCAACTGATACGCTAGTGTTCCGACCGTGGTCAAACTAAATAAACGTTTTTCCATTTCTTTAATAAACCTCACGAGCTCATCTTCCTCTTGTTTCGAACATACTGGCTTAAAATTACCTGGAGTTGAGTTAAGAGAGAGATCAACCTTCCTTATTTTGGCCACGTGACGCTCCAAAGTGGTCTGTGGAACACCGTATAGCTGGGCTTCTTTTCTGTAGCCTGCTGATTTGCTTGAAACGGCATCGATTGCCTGTTCCATGCTTTCTATAGACCAACTACCTCTCGAGCTTTTCTTTTTATACGTTCTCACCATTTTTAAGCCTAAAACAAGATAAGACCTTTGATCAAATGAACAACCAACGTGCCTCGCGCCCCCGTATGCCTCCCCTTTCCCTATGAGTCAAAAACTGAATTTGACTCGGGTATTTCAGTGATGCACACTTCACGGCTGTGAAAATTCACAAGACCATCACAAAGATAAAGCAAAATATGAAGAAGCATGAAAAGGTCAGTACTGGAAGTCAGTAAGCATAAAAAAGTTCGAATTCACGGAGGGAGTAAAAGCATCCTTCGGCCAGTACTTCCTTTAATGTGCATTTGAAGATATCCGGACGACTGCTCTCTCTTAATTCGAGAGGCAGAATGTTGAATAGACGTATTCCAGCATCCACTGGAGCACCGTGAGAATTTTGTTACTTTTGAAAGTGTCTCTGCATGATGTTCCATAAGAGGTAAGCAGACAATACGTTTAATGATACGTTTTTGCAACTCAAACACTCTTTGTAGTTCGGACGCTTGACCCCACACAACTATACTATATGAAATAGCGGAGTATCCCAGTGCATAGTAAACTTCAAGCAAACATTCTCGTTCCAGCATGTTTTGGAGTGCAGTGATCACATAGCTTGCCACAAACTACATCGACATGCGAGTTCCATGATAGGTTACAGTCGAATTGTGTTCCTAATGTATGAACCCTATTATTATTATTCATCAACTAAATTAAAATGTTCAGAAAGTCCCTGAAGAGTGTAACTTCGCCTGTGTTCAAATATATTCTAAAGTGGCACCTTGGCAAAACTCCAGAATTATTATTTATGTCTCCCTTATTTATAACTCGGCACACTTTTATCGAGTAGTTTTTTTCAAGATGTCATAAATAATATTCAGTTGGCTATGAAATTGTAGAGAAATTATTAAAGATGATCTATTCTATAGAAAGAAAGGTTTTTGGGTTTCTACTCCTCTACCAACCGACCCAGGAACTGAAGGTAAACGACCATGTTCGATGAAGGGGTTCTGGATCAGTTGGCAACTGGTGGTCCTCATCTTCAGCAATGAGGCTCATTTCTGGATGAATGAAACGATACCAATCCACATGATATTCAAGAGCGTTCAATGCATCCCAAAAAGTCACTGTTTGGTGTGGATTTTGAGCAGGCGGCGTCATCAGTCCATATTTCTTGGAGGACGATGTTGGTCAGGCTATCACTGTCAACGGCGAGTACTCTAGGTCAAGGATTACCAACTTCTTTTGGCCTGAATTGGATGATCTGGATATCAACGACATGTAGTTTCAACAGGACGGCGCTAGATGTCACACAGCTCATGCCACATTGCATATTCTGCATGAGCGATTTAAAGCCATGTTCAACTCATGTGGAGGTGATGTGAAGTGGCCACCGAAATCATCCGATTTGACCCTGTTAGATTTTTTCTTGTGTGGTTTTCTCAAGTCGCTTGAGAAACACAAAGCCACAAAGCCAAACTGAACGATGTTATACCCCACACATAAGTGGCATGAATAGGTCTTTCAAACGAATGAAAAAATTTGCACCAACTTCCAACGCGTGAGTAAACCATCAATAATTATTCTCGAACCCCTGGTTAGAACAGTTCCAATTATAAATTCGATAATTCGTCTCAATAGTGATTCCTCAAAGTGTCACGTGTGTCTCAAAGCGTAACAGCGTATAGTCTACGTAAGAGCATTCTTTCATTTTCAGTCCTATTATTGATAACACTCTAAATGTGCACTTGTTGGTAATCTATGTCGTGGCAACGCGAATCATAGGCAGCTTTGAAGGGTATATTCGAGATTGGGGGGAAAAGCTTTATTAAGAATATGATTGTGAAGTAAGTGAAGAGGATAAGTACGTAAATGCACGGAAAAAAGGGGAAGGTGTAAAACATAATTTCAGATTCTTATCTCCAAGACAGAACTGTGGAGTGATTGCCAGAAAAAGTGGGGTCTCATGAATCATATGAACGGGTTTACAAGGTGAGATCTGACGAATAATGCTTAGCTCTGAGATGGGAATAAGGAAACAACAACTTTTGAATCTGTTTCATTTCTAGGTTAGAACAAAGTGGTACACCAGGAAAAACATCTTGTAAACTTGATAACCAAGTGTAATGTATACCCAGAGACATTCTTGATAGCTATTGCAGAGTACCACAATGATATCTCTACGAATTAGGCACCAAATCATTCGGTATCACAAGTAGAACCATTCTGTTGAATACCTCTACTTGCCATTAATTCATACGTAACTGAAATTACAATGAAATGAAATACAAACAACAATAAAAAAATTGAACTATTATAACAAGAGAAATGTTATAAAAAGCAAAAAATTTATTTTTTTTATGAAAGTTCTGAACGTAAATTGTACCTTAAAAACAATTTGATTTATTTTAGAAAGAGTTGAACTCAATAAAAATATCTTCAAATCTTCAAATTATCTCGAAAACCAATCGTTACAAAAATTTTCTGTTAATAGAGTTGTAAAGGTATTGGAAAGACCTTTAAAACAAGGTGCCACTCGACCTACTTTCCCTATCTAAATAGGGGTCGTCGGACGCACCCCTCCGAGGGGGTGCGTACTACAAAAAATCTGATTAATCTGAAAGGTGTCCCCCTTTAATTAAAAATCGACGTGTCCGAGCATTTTTCAAAAATCTTACTTTTTATATTCAAAAACGGCTCTGTTAAGTTTTTGTTGTTACACACTGTATGATGACAAGCTTGAACATCGTATTGTAGATCGTACTTTTGTTTTTAAGGCTCAGTATAGACCGTCTGTTGATCCGACCCTCGATCTTTGCCTTCACGGTTGTAATGTGCGGGTTTCAGGTAAGCTTACGGTCTCTCAAAAGTTGGAGGTACTTCAACCGCGCTTGCCAGTCGATCTCCCTTCCAGAGATTTTCACTTTTCTGGCCCATGGTTATCGCCATTCGAGGAACCAGCGCTCGAGGTCGTCCAATGCACGTTGCATGTAGACGATCCCAAGCTCCCGACCCATGGAAGATGAGAGGAGAGCCGTGTCATCGGCGTAGAGAGATATCTTCACTGGTGTAGAGACAGTACAACTTGGGAGAGAGCACAGCCCCCTGTGGCACTCCGGCGAGGATCTCTCTGTTCTCAGACAGAGAGCCCTCTACTCCAACCTGAAATGTCCTGTCTTTCGGGAAAGACCCAATCCACCGGATCAGGCCCCAGAGCAGGTCGAACGCTTCTGCTTATGCAGAAGGCCATTGTGCCATACACGGTCGAAGGCTTTCGAGATGTCTAAAAAGACGACATGAACTTTACGATTTTGATTTAGCTCTGCCATGGTGTTTTCGACCAGTCACAGTGCTAGGAGCTCACTGGAGTGTTCTCTCCTGAAGCCGAATTATTCATCAGGCAGAATATTTCAGTCCTCAACTTCTTCGTTGTGTCTTTGCAGAACAACTCTTTCAGCCAGCTTAGCCGCCGACGAGAGCAGACTGATCGGGCGATAATTCTGCGGGAACAGCAGGTTCTGACCGTGTTTTGGATCTTGACAACGATCGCATGCTTCCACCTTCTGGGGAAGTATCTGAGGGCCAACGAGCTGTTGATAATTTGTAAGAGGTTTTCGACGCAGTTTTCCGGAAGCCTCTTAAACAACTTATTGGTTATTGAACCGACCCACAGAGCTTCCTTGGCCTTTGCGGCCCTGATATAATCCTTTGAACTGACTCCTCCGAGATCTGACTATTTATAGGCCATTCGAGTGCTTCCACCTATCCCCTCTTCCCTCTTTCTGCTTCATTGCTTTTAGCGGGAGCTGACCGTTTGGCGGTCGTGTTCCGCTTGATTATAGGTTTCCATATGTTGCGTATCTCTACGCTAGCTTGGCTAAATGCGTTGTTGGACAACATATATGGGGCTTCTTTGAATTTTCCCCTAAACCAGTGTTTCCTCGTTGTGGATGATTATGTTGATGAGTTCAAACATGCTGTGCGACTTTGCTGGTTTCTCCTCGCTGTGTGTGTTTCTTGTGCTCGGTAATGCGAACTTTCAATGGCCTCTTAGTTTCACCGATGGATGATTCTCCGCACTCATTGGGTATCCGGTAAATGCAATTCTTGGAATCGCAGTCCGCGTTTGGTGGCCTGGTTTTCGTGAGGCTGCTACGGATAGTGTTACCGGATCTGAAGCAGGTTCTGATGTTGTACTTGGAACCAATTCTTCTTATCCTCTCCGATAATCCTCTGTTGTAGGGAAGTACAAGTACTGGTTGAGGCGGCCTCTCTTCCTTGCGAGGCTCCTGCTGACTTTTAGCGAAAGTCTGTTCTATCATCACTATGGAGTAACCATTCCGTTGAAGGTCATTTTTGATGGAATATGGAATCATAATAGCATCAATAGGTCTTTGAAACGAATAAAAAATTTCGATCTTACACACTTTGGTTTATTTAAATTCAAAGATAGGAAGCCCCAATAAGATCACAAAACTACATATTGTGTCCAATACTGTATTGTTTTCAATGATCCCGAGTAATCCTCAAGAACTGATTCGCAGTGCCACCAATGGTTTAGGTGAGGCGAATTCAAACATGACGTGATCTCCTCAGAACAGGTTCTTAGCCATATTTTTAGCGATAAACGTAGAATGCCTTCCAGACAATTCAGCATTTTATAAGAAACTTGTTACGGTCTACATAATAATATGGAACTAAACGTTGCCTTTTGGGCTATCATCAACAATTTTATTGCGTTTTGAAAGGTTTAATGCTACGGTGACGAGATAAATCTCATCATTAACTTTTACGTATTGTATAAATAATGTCGGTGGTTTCAAAGAGATGTGATTTAAAGTTTCTGGGAGGTAATAGCCCGGTCGTTATAGGCAGAAATAGATCGCTTAAAATAGTTATCCTTTCAACATTTGTTCAATACAATTTTTGGTGATTTGGTGGCAAAAATAACATCACGTGAAGCAGAATAAACAAGTGGTTTATTTGCAACTTTTACTCTGAGGCAACCAGTTGAAACACAGAGTATTGTGACATTTGTGGAATTTATACTGATAGGATTTAAGAATTGAAAAGTAATTTTCCAATAATTCTATAAAAACAACCAAATCTTCTGCATTATGAATAAACAAGAGATAAACCTTGGCCACCAGTGACCGTTCTCTAAAATGTACTTAGGTGAATATTTATAGAACAAATAAATAATGAATTGATGGCAAGGTCACACTCGATATTACGGTCTATTATTAGGATCTTCGAGTTTATGTACATAACTAATTGGAGCTGAAAGGTTTTTTGTGAGGGCTCACTAGAAGATTAATTAACATATCGAAAATGATTGACAGGAGATGGAATTGAACGTGATTATTTCCCCGTGGAAAATAATTCGGTCAACTTGTTTGTTATACATATTTAGATGAATAGTTAATCAAGCGGAACACCCGTTTCGTTATAAAAAATCTACTTCTTTCACGAATTTTTTTATGATCACTCTCAAAAGCGGTGATAGTTTTAGGTTATATGCTCACTGCCAACAGTATATGTCTATCGCACACTAAACACTGAGTCATGCAAGAGTGGAGCCTGCCTGCCACTGTCTATTCGGTTTGTACTCCAGAAATCCTTTGTGGAATTGCACCAGATATAATACATACATAGGAAAGCTACACAATATAGTTGTGGAGAGTGCCCTGTTGGGATATTTTGTGATCTCAGCAGGACATTCGACTGTGTGGATCATGATATTTTGATAAAGAGGCTTTACCATTATGATGTGAAAGATAATGCACTGACATGGATTACAAGCTTCCTACAAAATCGCAAATAGTATGTATGTTTGAGAAAAGAACATAGCAATCTCAGTTAAGGGTTACGAATTCTATATTAGCTGATATTAAACAGGTGTTCCACAGGGATCTGTTACTAGGTTAAAATACGTTAGATATACGTAGTCCGTTGAAGCATCTCGCTTGCCCACCTGATATGAGGCGCTTTGATTTATTTGTGGAATTCGTGAAATTTGAAGTATACTTTATACAACTTTATACAACCGCCCTTTATTCCAGAACTCATGGATAAATTATTGACAAGAAATGAATGTTGAACAATTTCAACATTCATTGGAATATTTCACGGAAAGTTAATTAAAATTATGAAGATATATGTCGTTTTTGAAGGTTCTTAACAAGAATATGAAACTGCTAGTCACTCAGGAACGGATGTTCCGATTTCGAAAAATAAACCAATGCTAGATAGAGAATTGAAAGGACTAAACGTGGTATAAAAGACGCCTTTTTCAGTTTGAGAGAAAAAGTTGATAACGCCCTTTCGGTCACGAGTGACTATTTTTTTCCTTAGTAAGCAGTCTTTTTCGGTAATATTAGATACTTCTTTAATTAGCTCTATTACCTTCTTATCAAATTTTGGAAAATTATTTTTACGCCTGATGCTTTCTTTCAGTTTTTCCCAAATCAACTCGATGGGATTGAAAACACAAAAATAGGGGGAAGTCCCAGTATGGTGAGTCCATACTTTTCAGCAATTATCTCAAGGGCATACACCTTTTCAAATGTTTTTGTCTGTAAAGCTTCAGGTAGTTGGTTTTTGGTCTAGTAATCTTCAAAATACAAATTGTTATCCATTGAAAAAACCTTGTATTTCATCTTTCCTCGAATTTTTATTTGGTACTTTGATGAGCTATCGCGAATGATAGGAAGCGTTGTCAAGAACTATTACACTATTCGTATCCAAATTTGGGATAAATATGTTCAAACCATTCCCCAAAAATATTAGCTTCCATGTTCTTATGCAGTCCTCAATTTTTTCTCCACATAATTTCAAAAAATTCGGAATGCATCCTTTACTTCTTCCGCAATGCACAATGATTAGTTGCGATCCTTTGTTTGCAGACATGTTAGGCGTACACATTCTCGAACTATTAGTCCACCCTTTCGTAACTATGTCGTGAGTGTCATACCAAGTTTCATCACATTGCGTCTTGCGTTCATACGGTTTGTTTTTGACTATTTTACGTACATTTGAGAAAGGAATTTCGGTCAAATCTGATGTTGCTTGTAATAGTTTGTTTCCCTCATAACCAAACTTAAGATGCAGATTCATATATGCATTGAAACATACTCTCTGTATTTCAATATTCAAATTCATCCGAATCTTATTCACTGGTATCTCTTTTCGCATTTTTCACCATCGCTATTGAAATCACTACACTGGAAAAAGTCTGCGTTGTTATCACACTTGTTATTACTATTAGTATTTGTCCAAGAGCGCCCCATTTTAAACAGATAACAAAAATTTTAAGTAATTATAATTGCACCAATATCGAATTTCAACACTCAAATCGCGACTGAACATTGATAACACGACGGCGATAACCATCCCCGCATTCCCCGATTTCGTCACCGAAACATGACTTCAAATTTAATTTTATGACTCTTCAGCCAATCACAAAACTCGGTTAGTAAAAATCATCCAATACAAACCGCCAATTCTGCAGTCCACGTGGAGTAGTTCGCAGCCGGTTCATTTCTATGTATTGGTTTTTTTGCCTTTGAGAGTGCCGCCAATTTTAAGTGTGCACAATATCGTTTACTTCGACTATACAAGATGAAACTACATGAAGCTACTTTCGAAATTCGAAAAATAATCTTTTGTTTTTCCTTCCAGATGAGTAACCGATCATCATCGAGTGTAAGAGGCACTCAAGTTGCATGGTGGTGCATGGCCATTGCGCTCATCCTCCACGTGTCTTCCGGAAGTCCTGCGAACAGATCACCAGAACTACTGAGTCGTCACCACCTAGCCAAAAGATCCTTCTTCGACCTGCAGTGTCGCGGAGTGTACGACAAAAGTATCTTCGCCAGATTAGACCGCATTTGCGTGGACTGTTACAACCTCTTCAGGGAACCTTCAGTCCATTCCTTATGCAGGTGAGAGATAATTTAGTGAGGCAGTGGAATATTTGACAGGTTCTCGAATCGGAGAAGAGGCTTGAGAATTCTCACAACCTGTGCCTTTCCTGACAGAGATTTCAGTGGGTGCTCTTACCGTCTTCTAACGCGCATCGTATTGAACCGTATGGGTTTTAAAAAAAATGTTCAAATTTCGCGGGCTACAAACCTTCGATTAGCGATTTTTTAATTGTCCACAGTTTCAGCTGTTGGCGTGTTTAGTTTGTTGGTGAGAGGCATAAAATTTTCGTATTCCGCGATTTTCAGAATTCGAAAGAAGAAGATCAAAGAATTTGCATCAAGTTTTGGGTAAAAAATGGAATTGAATGCTCAAAAATGTTGTTGAAATTTGACCACAAAAACCCGAGCAGAAGCATCGCTCAGGAATTGTTTAATGACGTCAACGACGAAGTTTTGCTCACTATTTTCTTAGATTATCGTGGCCTAGTGCACCAGAAGTTCTTGCCACATGATCGTACGGTCAATAAGGAGTAAGTCATGCGCCGCTTGTTAGAAGTAATACGAAGAAAACGCTGATATCGTGGAAAATCAACTCATGGCTTTTGCATGAAGGTAATGCAGCTGCTCACTCTTCATTGCTTGTTAGTAATTTTTTGGCCAAACAGCGTGATCAAGCCTCAACCACTGTATTCACCAGATTTGGCACCCTGTGACTTTTATCTCTTCCCAAGATGGAAGAGACCCGTGAAAGCACGGTGTTTTGCGACGTTCAAGTAGATAAAAACCGAATCGCTGAGATAGCTCAAGGACATACCAAAAAGTGCATATCAGAACTGCTTCGAGAATCGGAAAAACGCTGGTTTAAGAGTATCATATCTGAGGGGGACTACTTTCAAAGGGGCAAAATAAAAATTTATAAAAAAATAAATGTTTTTGTTGTTGAAAAACATATGATTGATCTACGATACCCAGAAATTCGCTGACATCTTGGCATCATCTTCTTTGATATTTTTGAATAACCGCGTTGTTAATCAAATGCAGAGAAGTGGCCTTATAAGCAATAAAATACTTCCTCTGAACGATATTCGATTAACAATTAGTGGGATTAATTTTCTAATAAAACGCGCCTGAACATATGGGTTTTCAGCCAACGCTTTCTCATTCAGTCGTAAAAAATATTACTCATTGCTCTAAGTAGAACAGTCTATTGTATGTAAATAATCGCAATTGCCAAACTTTCCCACATTTCAATGTGTGAACGCTAAGTGGTAATTTGTTACGTACTTTTCAGGCCAGTAATGATGGTAAAAGTTTGTAAATAATATCTCCGCGAAATGTTTTCATTACGTGTAACATTTTTGGCAGGGCAATATGACATCTTATGGTTTTTCGTAATTCTCAATTTCCATGAATATTTGCACATTGTTTGAAAGTAGGGCCGCGGTTGTTTTGAAGAGTTTTTTTCAAAAGAAAGTTAATAGAATCAATAGCCACTGAAACACAAACAATACGAGATGACTATACTAACGTCTGCTGGGTCTAAGTGGCCAAAAACAATTCAATTGATCACGAAATTGAAATACTCCAAGTACTTTGCCACATGTGACCCAGTGTACATCCTCCCGAAGAGTTGTCCTCCTAGGTCATCGTCCTACGAGGACGATGTCCTCCAGGAAGGTGGACATGTCACTAGGAGATATCTCCTTTATATCTGCAGGTATAGACCAAGACTCGCCGAAAACACACTCTCTTATTGACGATAACTCCAGACACTCGCATAGGATATGCCTGACAGTTTCATCTTTCTGTTCACACATCTTGCATAGAGGTGTGTCTACGAGCCCCAGATTATGGAGGTGTTTCCTTGACAGTGGCCAGTGAGAAATCCTACTGTTGAGCGTAGGTTTTTCCTGGTCATCGCCAGATATTTCTTCGGCGCCAGCTTCCCAGGGTCTTCCAGGGTGATCCTGGAAAGACTGAATCCTTTGCTTTCTTCCCATCTCTTTAGGGATTGAGCATGGGTGTGACGTTTGGCTGGTTCCGCAATTGTCGAAGTCATCAGGCCGTAGATGCTACTAGATCCTAAAACTCTCAGTCCAGCAGCTTCCTTGGCTAAGGAGTCAGCAGTGCGATTTACTTTACTCCTGTCACGCCCTTTAGCCCTACCGTGGCTTGGGGTCAGTCTTGGTGGCACTCTAGTACTAGTTCAAGGCACTCTAGCCTGTTCAAGGCTAGTAGGTCTTGCCTACTATCAGTGCAGATTGTTATGTTTTTGTCAGAAATTCCTCTTCTGGTTATTTCTTTTGTGGCGATTGAGATACCAGCCAGTTCTGTTTGAACCACGCTGGTATTTTTTCCCATTCCCCACTTAATCCTTAGGATTAGTGATCTGGAGTGTTACTAACGGTTCTCTGGGGGTCTTAGCTGACTTTGGACTTTCTCTGATAGTTTTTTTTATTTGAAAATAACCACCTACCAACCTTACGGTTATTAGCGGCTGAAAAGATAATTACAACATCATATTTTATTGGACAAGTTCAGAGCACTTAAGTAATTCAAAATCTTGCTTGAAACAAATCAAAGTACCTTACGTTTCCTTCGATATTATGCATATTTCTCTTTCTGATTGAAACACTAGACTTGACTCTGCACTATGATATGTTGTACTGTCAGTGCAACTTCACAAACGTGGCACTGTGGTTGATCTGACAGAGATATGAAGTTTTCGTGATTGAGATTTGTGTGTATTAATCGGAGTCGAGTGATCATAGCTTGTTCTCGTTCTTAATACTTCCATGGTTCGACTTAGGGTTTCCATTCTCTCAGTTTGAATGGAGTACTCTGCCACTCAACAATATGTTCTTGACGTATTGTTTCAGGTCGGTATGAGGGGAATACATTGTTGTTATCTGGTTTGGGTTGTCGATCGCTTCCCGGGCATAAAAGTCAGCACTTTCGTTTCCCACAATCTCCAGCACATGCGAAAGGACCCAAAGTAGGATGATTTTCCGTTGGCCTAAATATTTGTTTCACGTTGTGTTCCATAAGATTCTCCCAATCTGGTCTGTAACATTTTCAACATAGAGAAGGAAAGCTTTTCTCCCAACCAGCCTAGCTGGGGTTACTTTGTCGTTCTCTCTCCTGGGTCGTATGGCCGGTTGAATTCTCCTTCTCTCTACCCATTTCCGTTGCAGAAATTTCTAGGTGTTTCAGTTCCTCAATAAGTCTCCCAGGTTCACGAATTAACGAAATATGTATCTTCAATGGTGAATTTCGGCCCTAGGCCAAAAGTATTTCCAAAGATTCTTCGACATGTGTCTTTCTCAATATTTCAGGACTGGCAATACAATGTTGGTCTTCTCATTGAAAATAAGATAAAAGGTTCATCAATTGTAATTCCAAGAAGCTGATGTATTAATCTAGTACCAGGTCTTCTTCTCTTTCATTATCAACATCTTCGGCCGATTCAAAAGTTTTGCCCGCTTGTATTGGTCTACTTTAAACTGTAATCTCAGTGGTCTTGATTGGCAAGAAAGTTATCGAAGTGCTTGAAAAGATGGTAAACGGTTGGCGAGAGGTCTGGGCAATATGGTGGACAAAACGTGTTGCGTTTTTGTAAAACTGTCTAGTGAAAATTACACAATGAAGTGTTTTTAGAATACGTTTATTATTTTCTGTCGTATATCCAATATTGAAGCAGGTTCAGTTTCGTACACCTGTTGCTTCAAATAGCCTCATAAAAAAATCCAAAGGTGTCAAATATGGAGAGCGGGCTGGCCATTCTGTAGGACCTCGACGGCCAACGACCGCGAAAAGTAGTACATTCGTCACTAAAACAATTTCACTTCAGAATAAAGTATTCATGCATCAGTTTCATTATCCCTAATTTCAATTTTTTGAGGTGACCTGTTCAAAAAATAAAATGGGGGGACATTAAAGAAATGCACTGTATATTTCGCTGCATATTTCGCTGATTTTCTCACAGTAGGACTCTGATGATGGTCCAATTGCAGAAAGTTATAGCCGCTGACCCCCATACAGTAACCATGGTCTTTTTTTGGTGGGTTTCAGTCTTTGGGAATCATTGTCCTGAACGTCTACTCTTGTAGAGGATCCACTTTTCATCATATGTGAAGATCCGATCCAAAAAATGGTCGTTTTGGTTGCGTAAAAGCAAAGAACAGACCTCGAATCGTGACAATTTCTGTAGATCGTTCAAATCGTGGGGCACCCACTTTTCGAGCTCCCAATACGTTTTAGATTTTTCTAAACCGCATGGGAGCTGACGCTAAGTTCTTCCGCCATCTCACGCACCGTTTGTGATGGGTCAGACTCCGCCACAGTAGAATGAATATTTATTGAGAAATGGAGCTACAAAAATACATGACGTTAAAACGGACAAAGATTTTCACACTTCCAAATAATTGAAACGGCGTACATGTCTAAAGGGAAGCCAGCCGCCTGCACCTAACTCTGCAAAAATTCGCTGTCTTGAACAATTTTCCGAGTATCATCCGTGACTACTACGAACACAAATCGAAATCGCAGCCTCGCTGGAATTTCCGGGGACGTTTCGAGATCAGATCGTATGATGGAGATCAGCGTTTTCAGAAGAGGAAACGACATTCTGCGTTGAGTCACATATCACGCCCATTTGCCAGTCCAATAACGACGCAGCACAGGACCGGAGCAAGAGTTTTCAAAGCCATAGGACACGGTTTTAGAGATTTTTCGAATTTTGGCCTGCCAGAGGTTTACTGATTGTTTCCAACGCTCATGAAACAGACAGGTACAAAAATAATGACAAGTCGAACAAAAATGCAATATTTGGAACAGGTACTTACCAGATACTAGACTATGATAATTGGGAGTCTAGAATGTGGCCAACAAAATGCGGAATCAGGTGTATCGATTTCACACTTCATCTCATTTTGAGGCTGTCTTAAACTCTGCACTTCGTCTTACAAAAAACCGATTACCTACTGCTGATCTCTAAAATAGAATTCTTTATTTAATTGAATAAAGTTACATAACACTACTTCCAAAATACAAATCATGAAATTATAAAACAACAACAAAAATTAATTGGTGCTCCGGGGCGACTTTATTGATTCCAGTGGCGCATTTGCTTTTTCAGCTGCAGGAAAAATCTGCAGTACCACATCATCTGAAGATCTTGATCTGCCATAAAACAAAATGTAGGGTGTCTCCAGAGGCTCCATTAAATTCGGTACATCGCCAGAACAGTGACACGACTATCGTCAAAGTTAAACCAGTCCGTTAACGTCTTTGACCAAGGCGTAATAATGACAGATTCAACGCCAAAACTACAGTGAACAATGACTGCATGATGATTATAATAATGGTCTGCTAGATTGAAGTACTCATCTATTTAGAACCTTCGTAACAGTTTGGTTCTTCCATCAGAGGTTGAGTCATGTTTGAAGATCATCAGTGTTTCAGTGTTATTATTAGATTGACTGTTGCCTCAGCTATACTTGTTTTCTTATAACAGCCAGTTAGTTTGGCGCATGTTTTGCAATACAGTCGCTCATCACCTGTTGAAAGTTCCATTTTCAGATGATTCAACAATAAGCTAGCTTTGTACGGACTGGTTATTATTCATTAGGAAACGCTAGATGAAGTTCCACAAATTCACATTTCGTTTGGTGAATAATGTGTTGGCAATAATCCTCTTCCTAAATAAATGATTTTGAAGATGACGAACAAAGTGAATAATTATTGTTCACTTCAAGAACCATAAGGTACACTCCAAAAAAATACACAAATCAAGCACCCCTCTAGGCCTGGGTGTGTTTCTGAGTCTCATGAATATCATTCACTGAAATACCAATTAATGTTTTGTTGTGAGATTTATAAAAATTTGAAACTGACCGTCCATAGAGCACTGTTTTATTTTCTGATCATTTTTATTACAGGGACAACTGTTTCACATCAGACTACTTCAAAGGGTGTGTCGACACCCTACAACTTTCTGACCATATACCAGAAATCATGGATATGATAAAACAACTAAAAGGGGCAAAGGCTTAGGTACACTTGCACGACATTTTTCTTCTATTATTTCTTAACACACTAATTCTATTTTTAAGTTTCACCCTTTTTCATTTCTAACCCGTCTAATTTTTGTTGTCCTCGATTTTTTATTCGTAAAATAATGTACAGGTGAACGTCACAGCTCTTATAATTGTTGCAGTACTATTGGGTCTTTCTTTCAGCGCTTTATATCTTCAAATTCAAATAATGATTTGGCAAAACAGAGTGAATAAATGACAACTAATTCGACAGATGTAGCTTCAATTATTAAAGTTTGGAAGTCCCTGTACATTATTTCAATACGAACACAAATTTTTAAATTTTCATTTCAAGTACACATTTTTTTTGTATTTTGACTACGAATTTTTGACGATTTTTGACGATACCTGACGCAACTGGTTTACTATTTTTTCAAGAAACCATGTGGGTATTTTGATTTTCCCCGTATTTTTCAAACAGGTGGATTTTTATTGGACAACTTTTGCAGCAAACCTTCCAACATAATCATTCCATGCATGCAAATAATTATAATATATAGAGAAGTGATTCTATCGAGACCCGATTGTTTTTGAAATCTCGAAGGACATTTTTCTTCAATAAATCGAATCTGATATATCTCGAACATATTATATTTCCAACTGGTCTCTCACTGAACGAGAAATATCAGTTTCGTTTGTTGTTGAAAACAGTGAATTGCAATTGCAACAAATACTCAGTGAACGATATAATCGAGACATTTTGACATACATACTAATCTGAGAATCATTCGGATGTTCGACTATTTGTTATTGGAATTCACTGTATATTATTCTCCGAAATAGTTTCGAAATACGTGAGCAATTCAATTCATAACAGTGGAAGCATACCACAATGAGATCAGGATCCGAAAACGAGAAAAATTAATGGCAAAGGTAGTTAGTTTATTGCAAGCTAAATGTACACAGTATAGTTCACCTTCACATGAAACAGCTATATATTTTTCAGCACTCTATGTGGGCGGATTTCAATTAAGCTCTAGACGGTTTTGTGCGGAAAATATTTTATGTACAGTATGTAATCAACGCGAGCAACAATTCTATTCAACTGATTTTGAACTTGTGACAAAATAGACCATAAGAAAACATATACGTCGCCAATGGACCCCTATCCAGTACCCCTATTCAGTGTTGCCACTATAAAATTTTCGGGTCTAAATCGACTGACATTTTCTAGGCCTTTTTTGGAATAATTCAAAGTCGGAACAGATGGAATTTTTAATTTTATAGACTTCTGGATGTTCAATATGAATCGATGGACAAAAATAATATACCATTTACCATATTTTATTGTTGTATTCACTTATTGTTTATTGTATTCAGTAGAACAGGATCTGATAAAAAAAGTCTAACCATCTTTGTAGATCTGCAACTGCATGGTCTTCAATCAATAAATTGTCTTTCAATAGGGCCCCTGGAACATCCTCTGGTAATAATAATGGTATTGAAATAGATATCATAAAGCACTTACAGAATACACTATCAAAACGTAATTACTCGGCAAAAACAAACTGAACACTGAAATGCTATGTTTGTGACAACAGGTAAACATATATAGGTGACAGGTTTCGAACAATTGAACAACCTAAAAAGTAAAACTCCCTAGGTAAAATGACAGGATTTCCACTATTAAACAACGTACAAACTTTATTTTTGTCCATCGATTCATATTTCCGGGAACATCCAGAAATATATAAAATTACTAATTCTACCTGTTTCGACTTTGAATTATTCCAAAAAAGGTCTAGAAAATGTCAGTCGATTTAGACCCGAAAATTTTATAGTGGCAACACTGAATAGGGGTACTGGAATCGTCCATTAGTGCATCCGAAATGGGTGGACAAAGTAATGAAAACAAAACAACGAACTAATCAAACCTTTTAATGAAGAATTTTGATACATTCTAAAATTCGCGCTACCTGATGTCATTTAAGTTTTGCTTCAAACTGTTCTAATAGACCAGTCAATTTCACAGATCAGCAACAGTGAGACTTTACTGGCGGTGAGGTGTTATAAAGGGCAAACTGAAATATTCACCTTGAAAAGTTAATGCGTAATAAAAATCTCTGAATAGTCTAACTAGTTAGTAAATTGTATTTAGGAATTTGAAAAACACTTGCTACATGTCAGAAATATTTGTAGATTCTTCGAGTTTTCTCGCTCTATATAACATTTGCCACAAAAACAAGATACAGAAACAAACTTTTTTGTTTTTTCCTCTGTATTCTCGGATTTTGTTTGTGTATTGGCAGTTATTCTAACATATCTGTGTTGAGTTTTTGATATAGGTATAGATTACACCAATCATCACAAACTTAACCATAACATGCATTTCTGACAGCTAATGTCGTACAGCATGTTCCCGGATTTTCTGTAATATTGGGACGAGTACAGATATGTCAGAAAAACTTTTCAGAACTATCAATAAATTTAGGTATTTTTTGACACGAACAGAACACGAGATTATGGTCGAAACAAGGAATAAATTTATTCATAGTTCACCTCGTTTCTGTGGCAAGAGTTACATAGGTGAAACATAAAGTCCCTTCAGTGTAAGACTGAAGGAACATCGTCAGTAGTGACATAAAGTGAATACAAAGCACATACCCTCACAACGGAGTGAGAAAATTTAAAGAATCTGCATATTCTTCCACCAAGCAACAACTGCATTTCAATAAACTCTGTGGAAATGGATCGCACTTGGTTTTCATAGCAAAGCAGAGATATTGAAGATGAAAATATGAACCTGATTTGAGCATAATAACTAAGCATATACAATTTATTTTTAATTTATATGCAAACTTTATAAATACAAATTACTGACCTACACCATAGGTTTTGGTAAGTTTCTGAAGGAAAACAACTATTTTTCCGGCTAATACCACGCTGGACATTGAAATATATCCAACAGACAGACGCAGTTGACTTTTTATTGGTTTTTATTAGGCAATAACTTTTCGGTGTAAACTTTTTCAGTCTGTCCTCCATTACAGTTGAGCAGATTCACTTATTTTTCAGATTTTGGAGGTTGAAAGCCCAAAAATATCAAGAAAGTCTCTAATTCAATATTCAATTGCGTTTTATATTCGCCTTGACTGGTCTATGATGAATTTTTGCCGGAGGATTTCTCTAATCTATGTTTTTTTTGTCTGTAGGTCCCAATGTTTTTCCACCAAAATTTTCAAGGGGTGTGTCGAGAGTTTACTAGAGATGGAAGAATGGTCCAAACTGAAGAAAATGATTGACTTTGTGGGAAAGTGAAAATTTCCGACACCCCCATGTCCTATGTATCTAGTCGAAAGAATAATTGTATTAATTAATTTTAGGTTTTTGACAGAATTTGTGAATCTCTCTCATTAATTTTATTGGTCGATATTTATTTAATTTATTGTCAATAGTCTAAATAGTTTGTTATTGATACTTGATAACCAAAGGTTTATCAGATTTTAAGGTCGTTATTTTAGTCACGAAAATGGTTAAAAAACTCAATCACTTTCATTTATATTTAAATCATGCCCATTCTTATAGAATTATACGAAAAATATACGTATTTCCTTTCGCTGATATTATTTTTGAAAGATCAGACATTTTTAGATTGTTTTAGTGACATTCCAGTATTAGTAGTTTATATTACAAACCTGTTATTGTTGTACTATCCATATGATCAGTGCCTGTAAAGTATTTGTTATGTAACTATACACAAATTTCACTGTCACTAAATGTATCAGACTTTTTGTTGCAGTAACGAAGCATTTTCGTTGTTCCAATGGCATTCCAGTATCAGTATTGTAAATTAAGAAGTTGTCGTTTGCAAATCAATACCTGAAAGTATCCAAATATACAGGGTGTGATTGAAAAGCCCGCAAAATTAACTCAACCTGCATTTACATACTTTTCAGAAACTCTCTATTCTCGATATTACAGTTCAAACACCCTGTATTGAAAATTCAGCGATTACCTTAAATTTTTATACACGAATGATTGTAAACAGGCACGAGATTAGTATTAAAAATGTATATTTTATAGAATGCAGTTGTTTGTATATACAGGCAAACTTCGGCAAAACCACGTTTAATTTTTTTTTTATTATTTTTAGTCGCGCAGCTGGAATGTTGCTTTTTCCGGAGTTTGCCAAGTTGTGCAGCGTGTAATTTTGATGGCAGCTTCAAGTAAATAGTATATATTAAAGTATTTCCAAAACGTTTGTTTGTTTTCTTACAATAATAATATTTTCAGTTGGAGAATATACTCATGACAGCCAACGAAAAATATATCCCTGGAAAAAAACACCGAAGTGGTTCAAACATTACCACAACCTCTCAAGGATTTCTAACATTCATTAATGGGTAATATTCATATCGATTCTCCTAGTTCCGCAGAACTTAACAATATCTGGAATAAAATGACTATTTGCCTTATATAGTCTTTTTTGGGGGGCCTCAGCTTTTCATCAAACCTTCTACGCATCGTTTTGAGGCCGTTAAAAATTACTTTCTCCTGCGACAGTTTTAAATTTGCGATAACTCCTAAGATATTAATTTCAAAAAAATATTTGATATTGGTATAAGAAGTAATGCATATTTATGCTTTCAAATTTATTGAAGTGATAGGAAGTAATGTGTCTTTGGAAAATAGGAAAAGTTCATTAAAAACACACCTCACCACCCACGTTTTTAAAAGGTTACGAAACGAACTACAATTCAACTAGAATCTAAGAGATTGTTCTTGGAAATGGCTTTTATCTCTCAGGCTGGTCCCTGTTTTAACAACTCAATTCCTCTTTTCAAAATTCAATAACATTTTTAAATGAAAATCAACATTTGAAACATCAATTTGAATACTTTTCGAAGTGAATTTGAAAAACTCATGAATTGAACTCAACTTTATTTTGTTCAAACTTGCAGTTGCTATAATAACCCAAATTGAACATTTCCCATTGATGATACGTCTCTGTAGAGAGCATTTGTGTCTTGCACAGAAAATTGAGAAAAACAAAAACAGACCTCCTGTTTCCAGTGTGGGAGTTTATAACGCTTCACGTTCTTTTTATTGTTAGTGTACTTTAAACAGTTCAAAGTGCTATATTAATTTATATTGTGTTACAAGCTTTGTCAATAAGAATGTATTTTCTTGGACAATAAAGCATCATCTCTGTCTCTCAACACTTACTGTTCAGAAGAAAAATACCAAAAAAAAAAGATTTTTGATTTTTTATTCATAACAGTGTATTCAATGGACTATTGTAACTTTGTCTATCTTGGCTGGATTAATATCACAATTACATCGAAACATTGAAATTTCACTTCAGTTTAACAGCTGCTCTGAGTTTGGCAGACCGGCTCCTTGCATTGTTCTCCACTTCTTCAAGTGTCGGCACAATCACGTGTTGGTGCAGCATTTTCCAATTAGACTCCATGACCTCCTTCACTAAACCTTCATCTACGAAATCCGAATGACTCATATATTTCAGGGGCAAAGGGTTTACAATGTTCTCGATCATGTTTCCCATCAGCTGCCTCTTCACGATGGTATCTTCCAGAGAATGGAAGGTAATGGTCACGACCCTCCCTCCGACTCTCAGATATCGATGCGCCAAGAGCAGACCGTAGTTTATTTCATTCAGTTCGTTATTTACGAATATGCGGAGAGCCTGGAAGGTTTTGGTGGCGACGTGGGTCTTCCTCCGTAGCTTGTCGAGTCTATGGTCTTCTGAACAAACCGATTCGACTAGGTCGGCAAGGTCTTTGGTGGTTGTTAGTTTTTTGAACAAGTACCTCGCCTCGACGATAGCTCTCGCTATTTTCTTGGCTTGTTTTTCCTCTCCGTAAAACTTGATTATCTTGAACAAGTCCTCTTCTGTAGCCTTGGCCAATACGTCAGCTGCTGTTACAGAATCTAAAAATGAACAAAAAGGCTTTTCTCATCTTTCAATTCAGGGTTCAATACACATGATATTCATTAGTAGAAGAGGTTAGCCTCATGAAAAAAATTATACCTACAAACGTACCAAATAACAAACCGCGATCAAAAATAGGATTTCATAAATACCTACTAAAACTAGCTGTTGCCCGTTCTTATATTAACGTACAGCTGAAGCGACTGAATTTAGAATCTTGAAATATGCAGGTAGGTTCTTTGTATAGAATGAATAAGCATCAAGAAAGAGAATAAGGAATTTCCACCCCCAAGAGGGGAAAAATGAAAGTTGGAAACCTAAAGTATTGGGTTGATAAAAAAATATTGTAACTATTTGTTGCTAGATTCAAAATAACATCATGTAAACCGGAATACAATGGTGCAAAAATATATCACCAAAGATATATCTTTCCCTTTTCTTTCCTTTTTTCCTCATATCAAGGGGCCCTTCAGCAGAAACCGAAAATCCTCTATGGGCTTCGTCGAATTGCATGGACGAACATCCAAAATCAAACAATATATTGTCGACAGAATTTTGTTTAATGCCTTTCGACTTCAATAAGACAGGTAAATCCGAGAACCGTCCAAGCAAGGGGACAACTCGAAATGGAAATTCTTCCGCCAACTTATCTGCATAATGCATTGCTATGGGATCTCTATCCAGAACAATCAATTTGGTATTGGGAAATTTTTCTAATAGTCTACGGCTATGGCCCCCCGCTCCAAAAGTCATATCTATTATGGTTTCGGTTTCATTACTGATGGGCTTTAAAAAGTTCAAGACTTCTTCAGTCATAACAGGGACGTGAGCTGCTTTTTGCTTTACATGTTGTGTACTACAGTTGCGTAGTAAGTTTCTGAAAATAACTCTCTTCAACAACATTTTGGGTGTGGGAAATGATATACACTTTCCTGATTACAAAATGACAATATAGTTAACTAGGAAAAATATATCTTCATTCATTCTCAGTTCTTATAAAACAGTCTATGAACTAAATCATATCCCATTTTCCATTACGTTTTCAACTTAGTATTTGAAAATCTTTTATAGAGCAACCAACAAACTTTATTAATTACTAACTGTAATTACAATTACAACACTACATAACACAGTTTCAGTTATTTGTAATGTTATAGGTTATGTCGGTGTTTGTAATTAGTAAATTCAGGAATCAGCTGTGTTGCCGCAACTGAAAAATGTACTATGTGTGAGTGAAAAAAGTACTACTTCGAGTATAAAAATACTGAAAAAGCAAATCCATTAACAATAAATATATTCTGTATATATTCACCCATTTCCGTACTTAAAGTAGTTGAATTTTTCATTGAATACCGAATCCCATCCAAAATTATCAGTTTCCAAACACCAGAAGTGCAACATTCAATTATGAATTAATTTATGCCCACTTGGTTGGTTGAACGCGTTTCGAAAATGAAGTTGTAGTTCCGAAGTTTGAGAGCACTGCCAGACGTTCCAGTTCTAGCCTTCAGTCCAAATTTAACATTAATTGATAATTTAGTAACAACAGATCAAAGACAAAATGACTCCACACGACAGGTAAAAATGACCATATAAGAATGATTCCATGTCGTAGATGCACTGTTATGCGTATTGAACGATAATAACTGATTGGTCCATTGGTCCAATAATCAACATGTACTGTATCAAAAAGTACTGAAACAGCAAAAGGCATACTGAAAATATTTTGAGGTTTTGAATGTACTGAATCTATTATTGAAGTGCTAAAACGGTACCACTGTAACCAGGGACATCATTATTTTTGGCAGTGAATGACAGAATACTCTATAGCGGTTTCCATTGATGAAACGGGTGCACAATTAGTGCTAATTTGCCTTTATTAAAAAATACATTCAATAAAGGATAGAACAACACTGAATAAGCACTGGCTCTACAATTAGAAACGCTGATGATGAAAGGCGTTCTCGATTAGAGTTTAACATTATACGGAACAAAATGCTTGAAATATCTCAGGCGCGATTAAAAACTCTTCACCTACGGCATTCTTGATGAAAACTGATAAAGAGGTCCAATATAACCTTCTATTCATAAAGACGTTGAGTAAACCTCAAGTGACATTATTTGAGAATGTCAAGTTGACATTTCAATTTTCAATGTTTTTCTCCTTTGGGAATGAATTGATATTAGATAAAATATTTTTTCAATTTATGGCCCGTAAATTGAAGATCTGAACAAAATACGAGCCACATATTTCGATTCTTGCACCATCTATCAACATGGGTACAAAGTTGGGTCAATTTCATTTCTCGCGTCTAGAGTTTTTGGCAAAACGAATAAAAACACCAAGATTTCTATTCATCTTGATACGGAAGAACGACGATACTCATTTACCATGATAGTGTGATACTTGAAATGCAATAAGTTTCATCCTGATCTGTGGTACTAAAAATTTTCCCAGGGCAGCAACATCATCAGCAATGAAAACAATTGATTTTATATTTATGTATTTTCTCTATGCGCTATTGAAGAGTTCATACCAAAAAATATGCACTGGGTGTAATTTTCATTGCCTTGGTTTTCCAATGGAACATGTGAACTGATACTCGTTTTACCAATGGAACATAAATTATGCGCTCGCCTGGCCTACTTTTTTTACTAATATAAAACGCTATATCATTGCGTTCCTTATTATTAAACCATCAAAAGTACTGAAAATCACAGTGGTGATAATACCTCACGCCATTTGAGAACGCCTTGAGTTACTCAGCCATAACCTTGAACTATTTATATTTGACGTATGTGGTTTGACGTAAGGCTGGAATCTGACACTTTTGACAGATTCACGAGATGAAGTGCAGTCGTGAAGAGTGAACTAAATTTTCAATTCTTTCAACCGCAAGCATACTGGACGTGTTTTGGAGATCGACTTCAACAAATTTAAGCTTCGTTTAGGGATTGGAGGTAATCTCAAGATGTCCAGTATGTTGAACCTCTTCGTACGTAGTTTGTCTCGTACGTCTGGCAGGAGTTTAGGTAAATCTTTTAACAAGGGCATTAGAGAGGTAAGTGAATAATTCAACAATTTCTTAAAATAGATTGTTACTTGCATTCAATTGTAACATTATGTAATGTTGGTAGAACCCTAATTTGCTGAGCTTTCACACAAAAACTTGTTATGTAACCTTATTTTTTAGGCAAATGTTGCGCCTGTCAGGCACAAAAGTTCTAGTCAGGGAGAGAAAATAGTTCGTAAATATAGTATTAAACTAAGTCAGCCTATTGCTTCGAGGTAAACTTGCGACTGTCTTTCTGAGGGTACTGTCTAAATTCAATGTATTGTTACAGAAATCATCAAATTCTCACCCCAAATAGATACTTTCATAAATCTAGCTCTTGTTGGGATATACAAGTCATCAAAGTTCCACCTTTTGCGGAATCTGTCACTGAAGGAGATGCAAGGTAAGTATTTATTAGTTCTAGTGTCACTATTTTTCGGGTTTGAATGCTGTCGATTTTTGCAATTTCTTCCTGACGTTTCACTGGCGTGAGTGGCTAGCTTCTTGAGTCATCGGAGATAACTCAGGAAAAATAGTGACACTGAAAACTTTAGCCGTGAAAGCTGTAACCATTTTGTCATTTATTTATTTGTTCACAAATGGGAAAATCTCAATTCAGTTTACAGAGCATTGAAACGTTGAGCAGTTGAATTTTGAATGTATTCAGATCGTTGGACAAAAAAATCAATCCTGTGGAAGTACAAATTACCCAATCTTAATATACTTGAGACTGATGAATAATAACGAGTCACTATTAATGATTAATATTTTGACCTTTCACGCATCATTTCAATGTAATCTTGTGTTCTGTCATTCTATGTCATCTTTATCAGACATAGTTGTTGAAGTTTGAGTGATATTCAATGTGTTGCTTATCATTGTATTACTGCTGCCCACCAAAATTCTTCAGTATTTCAAATTTGAGTACTCTGAGATTGAAGTTATTGTCAACCCTACACGACAAATAGTAAAAAATACCTATAATACAAGTATATAAAAAAAGAAAGAGTATATACTATACAATTGTCTTAAATTGTTAAAAATCACACTGAACCTCAATATCAAATGGAGTTGTCGTTCCAAGGAGCTTTGAGAAATTCATTGATAGAATAAAAACAATACTTTAATAATAGCACTTTGCATTTTCTTTTGAATAATTCTTGAGGAAGTTAGTTTCAAACTAGTTGGTAACTTGTTGTGTAACTGCAGTTTAGGTGAGTGTTTCCTGGACACGTCTAGTCGATATAAATAATTGTCTTCACTTCAAAAGGTTTTCGATTTCGAATAATGTAAAGAAAAATTAGAGGTGTTTCTAAGATATTACATTTGCATTGTAAACTCAATGGCGTTTATAAAAAAATGAACACCACTAATAAAGAAATTATTATGAACAGAGTTGCATAATTTATGAATAGTAGTTGATTCGACTCATTGTTAGCAAATGAAAAAAAAAAACTTTCCAAGAGATATTTCTGCCAAACTTGATAATTCAACCCTACCTATTGGTCGTATAATATGAAAAGTAAATGTAGAAACATTTTTTCTGTGAAGAATTGAAAAGAAAGTCGGCGACTACGTAGTGGCGGACGAAGTGGTTATGGAAATCGAAACCGACAAGACATCTATGCCGGTCCACGCTCCCACCGATGGCATCATCGAAGAATTCCTGGTGAACGATGGCGACACCGTCAAAGCCGGTCAAAATCTATTCAAATTGAAAGCCGGCGTTGGACCATCGAAATCGGCGCCGGCTCCCAAAGCCGAGGCCCCTGCAGCCAAAGCCGCTCCACCGCCGTCACCGCCACCCGCAGCAGCGCCACCTCCAGGTGAGAACGAGAAACATTAACCTGTTTCACAATATTTGATTCGTCTCGTTGAAAATTTTACAAAAAATAGTAAGGAACCCATCATATACAAGCCACGTCCATATGTCAGAACAAGTTGAGAAAATTCCTAGGATTGGTCTTTCAAACGAACAAAAATTTTGATATCTCATGAACACCTTGTTTTATTCGAATTTAAAAATAGGAAGCATTTAATGAAAAACCATATATATGAGGAACAGAGTTGGTCCAAGTACAGAGCCATGTGGCACAACACTTCGGTAGTTTATTGTACAATGGGGAATGTTCCTCCTGATGAAAATCAAGTAGTTTTCATATAAGAGCTTTGAAACAACGCGTTTTAAACTTATCATTTCAACCTTTTTCTTTAAACATTTATTTAAATGCTTGAAAAAGAGGAATGAAATAATGCATTCAACATTTAAAGGGATTCGTTACTATTTCGCCATTTGGCAACATCGGTTATAGCTAATAAAGGACAATGAATCTGTTACCTGTATGAGACAAACTTACAAATTACAGCTACAGGTAACAAAGACATAATACATATCATATTTGTTCATTTAAAACAAATTTCTTCAGTTCATTTTTGAACATGTTCGTTATTTAGGGCAATGGTTAAGGACGAACACAGTTTATTATACTGGTTTTGAGTTGATGGGGGAGGCTACCGTTTCCAATGATGTATTAAAAAAGTTTATGATTAGGGGACAAATTATGTCAAATATACTTTTCAGTATATTTGATTCTTTTAGAGCTAGCAATTTGATTTTCCCAAAAGAACATTTCTTTTTTTGAAAATTGTGATTTGACCAAGAAGAAGGTGGAAGGAATCTCTATTTCTTGAATAATAATTGAACATTTCAGCTTAATCTTGGTATAACTGAGGTCTGTTCTTCTCGACCCTTCTTCAAAAATAATTTGATTAGGAATAGATGGAATACTGGGTTTCATCAAAGTTTTCAAAGTGTTCTCCAATTTTTTAGGATCCTCTCAACAGTTTTCACACTCTTTTTAATACTCCCAATTCTTTTGCTTAGAGGAGATTGACTACTTCATTTCTATACCTCTCATAAATAGTCGAATTGATATATATTCTCGTTGAATTTTCCGAGTATTTAGTCGCATATTTATCATTTTCTCTCGCTTCAGATACATGATGCAATTCCGCAAACAGCACCAAGAAGCCTTCCAGAAGAAGCACAACCTGAAGCTGGGCTTCATGTCGGCCTTCCTCAAGGCTTCTGCTTACGCCCTCCAGGACCAACCCGTCGTGAACGCAGTCATCGACGGCCAAGAGATCATCTACAGGGACTACGTTGACATCTCGGTGGCCGTCGCGACGCCCAAGGGNACATACAAGTTGAATTGAAAACCTCCTCTTTTTTGTAAAGTTGATGTTTTTATTTGTTTCATTAATTCAATATCTGGCTACAAGTTTAGGTTCTTGATAATTTTTTTGTTCATTTATAAAAAATGTGTATAGATAGATAGATAAATAGCTTTCTTCATCACTGAAATTTTATACAAAGGAGTTATCATAATGTACATACCATTAAACAGGTAAAAAACATATACATAAATAATTTTTTTAACACAATCACTTAATACACGCTACATTCTTGCTGATTATTCAGCAAAACTCAAATAGTTTTTCTTTGTGATTGATTTCAAGAATAACAGAACGAGGATCTATTAGCTCTATTTCTAGTTATGACATCTTTTATAGGAACACATTTATATAAATTGAAAGTATATTTTTATGAGCGATATATATATATATTTTTTTTTTATGAAGATGGAGAAGTAGAAAGCCGAAACCTTTCTTTACCAGTCATTTGTAAAAGTTTGACATTTTGTAGATATAAATAAACTTATTATCAACATTATTCCAGGTGGTGATAAGACCGATGATGTACGTGGCGCTGACTTACGACCACAGGCTGATCGACGGTCGCGAGGCAGTTCTTTTCCTGAGGAAAATCAAGCAGGGGGTCGAAGATCCCAGTTCGATCCTGGCCGGTCTGTGAGCACCAGGCAGATTTTAATAATTTTCGTCAGTATGTCACATTACAATTTTATCCTTCACAAGTTTATTTCGCAAGAGGGCAATTTTAAATTCGGCGCCGGACAGAAGAATATTGTATCAACGACTCGTGATGTTTTTTGATGAATTTGAGTTTTGATATCTACCAGACAGCCTTTCGGGGCGGTTACTCTTGATTACAGAGACTGTTTTCTGGCATATTCCCGCTATTGAAGCTGATCGAATTTCGTCTCCACACTTCGATTTCGTTTGCAATATTCTCAACTATATTATTATTCCCAATTGTTTCTCGGTCAAAGAAAAATTCGAACACGACCAGGAACTGTAAAGCTTCAACTGTAAACTAGGGTGGATTTCGTGAAAATTTACATGGGGTGTCCAAAACGTGGGTCGCATCTGTGCCTGGTTGATATTATTTAGGTGTGCTGTATACCGAAGGTGGAAATTCTTATATTATTTATTGTTGACTATTCAATTTGTAATTATACTTTTTTCCTTAGAAGGCGTTTTTTTTCTCCAAAATGTGCAAATTGCAGTTTCGGGCATGGAGTCCATGGCTATATGGGTCATTTTTTGCTTGAAAAAATATACAATTAGAGGCATATCCAATAAATGGATGACATTTTACTTGAGAAACTGGGAAAAATATGTGAAAATTTCGGGTGCAGTACCTGAGAAAAAAATTGACCAGCGGCGTTCCACAATGCTCTGTTTTGGGGCCCATATTGTTTTTGTTATATGTAAATGATCTTACTAACTTGAATATTATAGGTTCACTTCATTTGCAGATGATGCAACTATAGAATGGCACACTGAAGATAATAATACTCTCAGCCAATTGATCTCTACAGATCTAGCTGAAATAAAAAAGTGGTGCAATGCCAAGTGAATGGTCTTCAACTCTAAGAAAACTAAAGTGTTATCATTTAAAAGGGACAGTGACAAAATACAACTAAATAATGACACACTCATGAAATCTGATAATTATTGATTCTTAGGAGTAGATGAACAATGAGATTTCTATTACACCGGAAATTCAGCTAACAGAAGCAATTAAGTACAGTGCGTTTTCGACCGTTTTTTGTGCGTAACCGCCACATACTTGACCAACTGCGCCACGAAAGCGCTACACGAAAAGCGTTACGAAAAAAAAACCAATAGTTTTTTCGTGTAACGTTTTTCGTATAACGCTTTTTGTGCAGCGCTTTCGTGGCGCTGTTGGTCAAATATGTGACGGTTACGCACGAAAAACGGCCGAAAACGCACTGTACTTCATTGCTTGTCAGCTGAATTTCCGGCGTAATAGAAATCTCATTGTTCATCTACTCTTGGGTATTGTATTGGACCATAATTTGAAAAAATCTGAAACAAATGAACTTTAAACGTTCAAGCCAGTCTTGATATACCTACACAGTAGGTTCAATGGACTGACGCCTATCAGAAAACAACTACTCCCCTGGCTAATACCACGAAGGGCGTTGGATTATATCCGACAAGCGTCTGTGCAGGAATCTTCACAGAAAATTTCCTGCATATGCAATTGGCAATACAACCGAAAGAGTCGACCCTCAATTTTGGACACACTTGTAGACCGGTTTCGGGCTCATTAGCCACTCGTCAGTGCAAGATAGTGACCATCATCGACCCATCGAAGCATAGCCCACTGACTAATAAGAAACCATAATTTGAAGTTCGATGAGCATATTATGGCAAAGAAATTGTCATCTGGGTGTTATGCTATCAAAGTTATTTGAAATGACATCAGTCATCTTATTGCTAGAAAAGCCTACTTTGCTCTCCTGAAATCTCACATCAGATATGGAATAGCATTTTGGGGAGCCTGCTCACAAGCCTTGTTTTCGATGATTTTTAACAAAGAGAGCACTGAGATACATATGCCATGTTAACTATCAAACTTCATGTAATCCCTTATTCATATCTCACGCATATCTCAACTAGTTTAACTCATAAGCATAAACTACATTTATTAAAATCTGACAGTGCACATAATACTTGGGCAAATGGCCAATATAATCCTTTATTAATCCCCAGAACCACCCAATGCTAAAATTCAATTGTTTACAATGGTATGAAAATGTTCAACCATCTACCGAAGCAAATAGAAATTCAGAAGGGCTGTGAAAATATTTTCAATCAATAGACCGTTTTATGGCAATCACAAAGTTGTTGCTATTCATTGTCGACAACAGGTCCACGTAATAAATTCTTGTACCACATAATTTCTAGCATGTCCATCCCTTCCCAAGAAGAACCAAATTGGTGCTTCAAAAGGTGTTTTGATGACACTTTCCTTTTTCCGGATTGACACGGTCTGAACTGATTTCATTTAAAGCGATTCCCTTGTCATCAGCTTTGTTTTTTAGCAGCTTATAGAATTTTTCTGTGCCTGTGTACCCATAATATTTCACGTCGTTATGTCCAAAAAGACACAACAGTAACGACTACACACAACAGTAGTTCTACTACTACTATTTTTTTTCTGTTTCTCAAATATGAATTGAACCAGTCGTAAGATTTTCCACGAATTCCAAATTCATAGAGTTTCCATAATAAAATGTCATGATCTATGCAATCGAAAGCTTTAGATAAATCCATGAAAACTCCACATGATAGATCTCCTTTGACTAAAGAAACAATTCGTTAAAGCCAGTTGGATAAAATCAAACGCCCTTCATGGTATTAGCTAGGGGAGTAATTGTTTTCTGATACGTGCCAGTCCATTAACCTACAGTGTAGGGAGTTGAGACTGGCCTGAACAAATTGTTTCAATTAGTACAAATCGATGTCTTAACTAGTTTTTCACAAAAAGTGGATTCAAAGGGTTTTTCACGAATGCTCCTCAATTATGGGACAAAAACAACTCTAAAATATTCTCGACTTTATTATATATGTATATATTTCAAACTCAATATTTCTTATCAAAGAAATAACTTGAATTCAATTACAATACTAACACAGCCATAATTGTCTATATATTTTTCAGCATTTCACAATCACTAAAATTTCACCAAGTTCGAACATGATTATACAACTTTCTTGTTGCTTTGCCTCTAGACAAATCCATATTACTTTGAAAATAAATGCAGAAAGGACGCTTACTTCGCTAACGGGCATACCCCAAGGAAATGTTTACAGTCAGGAATGAGAACGTTCGGTCAATTGAGTGTAAAAATATTGAGTAATAAACAATGAAAATTTTAAAATTAAGGCAGTTACTTATGAAATTGAAATTGTTTTTTTCACACGTTTTATTTATTTTGAAAAGAGCTCAACTGATTTTCAGCAGATATATCAGATTGATAGAAATTTTAAATAGTAATACGAATAGTATTAGTAAAATGAAGAATAAACATAAATTAGAAACACAGACAACTTAAAATATAAATGAAAGCTACGTTTCAGTTTGCTCCAAATTATGATATTGAACTTGTTCTTGAAAAATTTACAAAAATATTATAGGACTATCGAGAAATATATGAATTGCTGGATGTTTCGTCACTGTCATTATTGAATTTTTGAAGTTCTGATCTTATTTATACAGACCGTTTTATGTTTACCTTTATCAATATTATTATTTATTCAAATTGACAAAATTACACACCCCACAGGGTATGTATCCTTGTGAAAATGGAACCAGTAAACAACTTACTGGAAAAAAATATTTAAAAAAACCAAAGGAAATTGAAAATTAATAATTATTAGCATGAAATTATATGAAAATAATACTTGTATTTACAACATTATCTTAGCATCAGAAAGCAGTATATTCATATACATCAAAAAAGGAGTTCACTGAAAACCCTCAACTATGTAGTTCCACAAGGATCTGTTTTAGGTCCACTCCATTTCTGATCTATATCAATTTTATTACAGAACTGAATTCATGCAGTTCCATCAGTATTTTTGCTGATAATACAACCCCCAATAACTTTTTTAAAGTACCAATATCATTGAAAAGTCAATTTAAGAAGACTCGGAACTAATATCTTTCCCGCTGGGATCTCATGAGTAACATTTGAATTTCGATGGGTCTTGCTCTGCAATTATATCCACAACAAATCTTTTTTCCTCAATTTCAATAATAATTTGATAGAATTCAAGAAAGGAATGAAATTTTTAGGCAACAGCTGATTTCTCTCATTTGAAACCTTTACAACGGTTACAGTATGTAATCATAAACTAGACGAATATGCTGAATCAGAGAGAAAGGATCAGCAGCCTGTATAAAGCTAGAAAAGTATTTGTTTTTATGGTGGAGTTGATTTATATGATTTATACAGTAAAATTCCTAACATTATAAAAAAATTGGATTACACGAAATTCAAGACACAAAAGTAGAGAAACAATTCATCGCAGCGATTCCAAACTATGGGAAATTGTTTTTATTGATGGATAACAGTTATTTTTCGCGTGTGCCATTAACTTGAAATAATTTTTCCAGCCCTCTTGCCAATATTTCCGAATATGTTCAAAAAATACACCATACGAATTTTAGTAACTTAAAACATTTTTGCCAAATTATTCAAGAACAAATTTGGGTAGTCAAGTCATGATTTTGAACAGAGGGAAACGTCTGACAATTATATTACTCATGATATGTCGCGAGTTTCATTTTCGTTTGAAAGAGGATATTTTTTCTGGCTCTAATTTTTTGCAATGACTATATAAACTCCAGTTGAAAAAAATGTCAATAGAGCTTCCACTGTTCCATTCCTTGCTAGCAAAGTTTAATATACGCGTTACTGTTGAAAATTTCTAGCATTTGAACATACCTTCTCAAAAACTGTTACAAACTCTTTGAGCTGTCCTCGAATGTCACTGCCTGACTGTGACCATTTCTGGTGTGTGGAGTGAAAAGTGGTTTATATAAATTCAGAAAATTTCGTTTCCTGAAAACTCCCAACAATTCACTCGTAGGAGCAGGCTTTGAATACATCATTACATATAAAAAAAAAACAAATATCTTAGCTACGACTACAGTATATGATGCGTCGATAATGAACCCCAAATGAAGCGAAATAATCGTACAGTAAATATAACTATAACTAATCAATTTATACGTGATAGGATAACATAATTCTAGATCTACTAAACACAAATTTTATTTCAACTAGACAGATATGTTTCTGCTTGGGATGTTACAAAAATAGTGGCAACGTAAGACTAAAGAGAAATCGTGAATTGAGGCGACAGAACACACTAATAAATAAGGAAATAAAATCACAGATTTCAATAGCACCAAAAAAATTTGGGTTCACCATTCCAAAAACAGGCGAGTGGAAAATATATTGCTTGCCAATGTGGATTTTTTTGGGCACAGTGATTCCTGTTAGTGATTCAAAGAATTGCGAAAGTCTACGTATTTTTTTCAAAACCAATGTTTTAGTTTTCTTCTCACAGCTACTACATAACGGAAGGTAGAAATTGTACATTACAGCCCTGGCAGAATATCAAATGGGAAGAATTCTATCGATCGTGAGTAAAATGAGTACAGAAACGCGCGAAAATGGAATTCTGATCGTCAATCTCTCTTCAGAAACAGACACGAAGAGGTCCACAAATGCAGTCTTCGTCGTTTTATCAGCAGGTGACTGTGTAAGTGTGGGACAACTTGGGAATCCGATAATTATTGAAATTTCGCTGCTGATTTGTCAAAAGCACTACAATAATTTTTCATAGTTCAACTGAAGTCTTACAAGTCTTTTCTGATAGTTGAAAATTGGTTCTGAGGAGAGAAATTTCAGAAGTTGTGGAACGTGGCAGCAGGGCCGGACTAAGGAGGGGCACGGTCCAGGGCGCCAGAAACATTAAAATTAGTAACTGCTTCATTACCAAAAACATAAACGTTAGTGTCAAGTTCAGTAACTCAATTACCAGGAGAATGTGGATTGCTTCTTTGTGCCATATAAATAAATGAATAATCATTCATTCATGGAACTTTTTGAAACTATTGTAATATGTGTTACGATCAAAAAAATAGTATTCAATTGAAATAACAGCGTAATTTTTTTTCTTAACCTTACGTAGCACTAGGCGTTTTGGTAGATTGGGCAACCTTGGGAGGGGGGCAGGTGAAACCCTGCCCCCCCAATAGTAATCCTAGATCCGGTCCTGCGTTGCAGGTTAACAAATAACCATAATTTCCCAAGATAGGGATGCCAGTATAGAATAATAGTTTGATGTCTGGCCATAAAATGTATCAATAAATTATGTAAATTATATCATCTGAAACCGACTATAAATTTATATAAACCAAGAATTTTCTGTATGTTCAAACTGTTCATGAAAAGAAAATATCAATTTTTATACAGGAAGTGTTTACCGATCACAAAAAATCCAACAGGAAATAAAAATCATTCTAGTCAATTTTTTTCCAACTTTCATCCGAATGTTATTTATTATTTGAAGACCACAGGGGAATATCGGGCTTAGTCACAAACAAATCATTTTTGAGTTATCCATGCCGTTTTGTAGCTAAACTGCGACTCTATCGTTTAGCTGTGAAGAACTGGCTAAAAACGAGCTAGGTTCCGAGATAGTAGCGTGGGAAAAAAGGTGGCGTAGTCCAACGGCACAGGGGAAGAATGGGCTGAGTCCGACCATGTGATATGTGTGCGCTTGCGCGTTGACTCCGCCATTGTTGTTTACAAGAGTCGTTTTGCGTTGTTCGTGAAATTTGAACGCATTTGTAAGCTGTTGCTTTCCTGTCTTCGTCTCTAATATTGGTTTGTACCTAACAGGGCTCAACACAGTTCTGCCTGTAGCTAGAAGGCGACCTCGTCAATCCGAGGCTGTTGCTGATTTCCATGAAGCAACCTACTGGTATAGTTGAGTGAAATAGTCCAGTTTTGTTATAAACCACTCTAAATTATGTTAATGAGAGGAGATAAAGGCCATAATCCAGCAGAACTCCGTTGAAATAAAAAATTGGTGTTCATTTTTAGAGCTCGCGTAATGCGTGACGGAAAATATGAAGACGTCCCAGTCTGTCGCAAGGCATTTATTTCATTGCACGGAATAACAGAGGCGCATAGAGCACATCGTCATGTCACTGAAACTTGAGGGACAGGCTCCTACCGATGGTCGTGGAAAACACAAAAACAGACCGCACAAGTTGAGTGAAGCAAAGGTGGCTGCTGTAAAGAATCACATCGCTTCCTTCAAAGGACGAAATGCTCACTACAGCCTTCAGAAAACTTCTAAGATCTATCTTCCTGAGGAGCTAAACGTGAAGAAGATGCATCTCATGTACATGGAGAAAAATCCAGGTTTGGCTGTATCATATGAATCGTACAGGTCAATCTTTGTGAAAAACTCTAAAATATCTCGTTCGGCTACCCACGCACAGATACGTGCAGTTTCTGTGACGAAACTAAGGCAAAAATTAGCACATTAGAAGCAGATTTAACGAAAGGTCTAAAAGTGGAAAATGAGCTTAACACGCTGAAAGTTAATTCACAAGTCCATTTAGCAAGATCAAGCCATTTTTATGAACTAAAAAAGAAGGCTAAACTCCTCAGCCGCACTACTTCTGATACTGAAGCTATTGCAATGGACTACCAGAAAAATTTACCACTTCCCAATGTCACCACTAGCGATGTTTATTATACGAGGCAGCTTTCTTTTTATTCGTTTAATATACACCAGCTATCAGACAACGAAAGTGTTTGTACACGTATCCTGAAGGGAGGAGAAAAAAGGGGCTGATAACGTAGCATCCATGCTTCATGACTTTATACACAACTTCCTCAAGCCGTCGGTAAGAAAATTGCTTATTTTCTGTGACAGCTGCGGTGGACAAAACAAGAATTACACACTGTTCCGATTAATGCATTACATTGTGCACATGGAGAAACGGCTTGACTACACTGAGGTTACGTTTCCCATAAGGGGGCACTCTTATATGGAACCTGATAAGAACATGGGTCTGATTAACCAAAAATCTCCTTGTGAGCTACCAAAGGATTGGCGTGAAGTATTTAGAAATGCCAGGACGAATCCCAAACCTTTCAAAGTTGTCAACTTTCGACAAGAAAAATTCCGGGCTTGGATCAACTTTCTAGAGCCTAGATACAAAAAAATGCCCCTTCAGTACCAGAGCTGTTCGGATCTTCCAGACTGAAAAGAAACATCCTCGCCTCGTGTTTTTAAAGCAAACATACTCCGGCCAGTTCAATGGTTCTGTCTTGCCATTGACTGGTGTGAAGAATGGACTAAAAGAAGGTGAATTTTTGCAGGATTCCTATCAAAGCAGCCAAGTATAAAGATCATCAAAAGCTCAAAAGGTTTTGCAGGAATCCGGCTGCGGATAAATTCTATACTTCTCTGAAGAAAAATTGAATAAAGAGAGTTTCTGACATTATTATTTTTTATTGATATTAGCTTTCTAGAAACAATGAAGAAACGGGCTAGGTCCTATCTGCCATAGGACATGGCCTGTTTTTCCCCTGCTTCATCCTACCTTTGAACATAAAAATGGTTATTGCGACTCGCAGATGGCATCTAGGGCCTTCTTACGTTCAAAGCCATTCGTAACTTCGTAAAAAAACGGTATATCAATAATAGAGTATGGCCAGAAAGTTTCAAAAGTTTAAAATTTGATTTCTCACGAATTTCGTTTTTGTGACAAAGCCTGATATTCCCCTGTTGTCTTCATTTGGGATTATTAACACTGGTTATTCTTGACAATTATAGGTTTGTTCGTTGTTTTATTGCAACTTAAAGTTCTATACCTCTATAAAAAACACGCTTTATTTGGGAGTATTGATTGACCAAGGACTAACATTCAAAGAACATGTATTGAAAGTTTTTTTTTGTAACATTTTAAATAGTAATTGAGATAGCATCACTATCCAAAAAAAAGTTATCCAAAGCAGCACCAACTTGCTAGTCTTGAAAGATTAGCTAAAAACAATATAATAATCTTTATGCAGTACATCAAAATAAGATTCACTTGAGAATACACTGTATTAGCAGAAAGTTGCATAAATTTTATGGCTGAAACTATCTCGTCTGGCAAATAACGAATCAGCAGCTTCTAAAAACGCCTGTTTCATCATTTCCCCGTCTTCATAAGGTTTCTTTTTTTGTGCAATTATCTGGGACACACGGTACGATGCTTCAGTTGCAGCCTTATTTCTGTCGACTGTTCTTAAAAATATCGATTGTTGTTCAATTAACTGCTTTTTCAACTGTTTCAGTTTCTCCTTTCTGGCGCGGCAGAATGTAGTGGGAATGATTTTTCGAAATTAGAATGTACAGTTTTATGATGTCTCTCAATATTTCCTTTTTTAGCAACGGAGACCGAAGTATTACATAACAAACACACATTTTTATCTTTAACTTCTGTGAAAAAGTATTGTTCTTCCCATTCCGAATGAAAGTGGTATGTCTTTACCTTCTTACAACTGCTTGCCATAATATTTTTTTTGTTGTACTCTACTAACCCAACCGCTGGACGTTGGTTACGCGTTCAGTTTTAAACTGAGCGCAATGTCGCCGCACCGTGCGTATTTAACCCGTTCAAAGCAATCCAGATCGTTCTCGAACACTAACGCGCTGGTCCGGCTGGTCGGTTCTAGCCGATTCTAGCTTGATGGCGTCAGCGGCAGATCGCTCACCGCAACGTTGCCGCTGTTTATGTTTAATATTATGACAATTAGATTTTTTGTGGAATTTTCGGAAGCTTCTCTGATTTTTGCAGTTTGTATTTTTTAAATTAAAATCGTTGTGAGAGCTACCAGAATTGTCTCCGCGAGCTACCGGTAGCTCGCGATCGACAGGTTGGCGACCACTGATTTAGATCATGGTATCAGAGATTGTAATTCGATAAGTCAATTCAAGGGAAGGTTGAAAATGCACATAATTTATTTTATTATTATTTCTTGAGTTCAATAACTTCATTGCTATTCCAAGGTTTTTAAAGTGTTGTGTTTGTTGCTTTGTATCTGTATCATTACTTTTGTCTTACCTTTGTTGCCCACATGTATATATTTGTTATTCATTGTTTGAATATTTTTACATTAGCCTAATGATAGTTAGGATCAAACATATTGTACATTAGCTTATGCTAAATAAAGGAATTGATAAAAAAAAGGAGAACTGTTACGACAAGAGTAAAACTATACTTAACTTTCAACGTCGTCCAAACTCTTGTAGTCATGTTGTAGGGACTGTATACCGTTATGCTATTTAACAAAAATGGTAAAGAAATCCCTCAAAGACGACCTACCTTGAGTGGATTGCGGCTGTCTCATCAGAGTCCTGAGATTGGTACTAGTTCTTGAAATCGAAGCTAATCAGTATATCGAGAAGCACGATATTATGCGGTGTGATAACACATAAATATAATCATCAAAATAGCGATTAATTGAACTGGGCAGTCAAGAATAGCGGACAATTCACCACACACCGAGAAGGATGCAACAATGTTCGTCCTTTTTCATCGCTCCAACACACCACAGAGGGCGCAATCATATTGAAGTCGTTTTCAGGGTACAGGGTGAGGCAAAATTAAGTAAATAAAGATAAATACGTTAGCCGTTCCGTAACACATGTACCGACCCTAACAAGTTCAAGCATTTCACATTATCTAGGCCATGTTGAGCAAAATTAGGCTTTTCTGGTCTCCTGAACTGAACACGTGAAATATGTTCCTTGAAACGCATTACTATAGTCTGCTCGGTTTACCCAACGTACCTTCTGTCGCAAAGTTAGTGCCAAGTTAGTCAGAGTGAATACTTACCGTATACATCAGATGACTCTTTACCAGATCCATCGCTTGTTCGATCTTGTTGTCGATAGCATTAACGACGGGATTCGTCTTCGCCGGATCGTCCGTACTCTCGCTAGCAGCGTCCATTCCGCTGGTCGTCTCGTTGATTTCCGCATGGTTTTCGCCTCCGTCGAGGACTGTCAGACTGTTGACGCTCATCGCGAACTGAGGATTGGTGTAAACGTTGTTTGCCAAATTCTGATCGAAGTTCTGGGGCTGGACTACCTGCGACGACTGGTTGACGAGTTGAGCTTGGCCGGGGCCTAAACTCGAAGCCGTTTGGTTCGTTGTCTGAGACGGTGCCTGGACATTTTGTTGGAACACGACCTGGTGGTATTGCTGGGTCTGGACGACAGGAACAGTTGCGTTCTGGAAGTTTCAATAAAAATCAATAGATAAAAAGATAGATAAATAGGTAATATAAAAATAACAAGCCACTGTGTAGAAAATGAAGAGGTTGAAGCCTCGTAATGGGTGATTTTTCAAATTGAAATACTATGACCAAACATAAACTGACAGATATTTTTCATTTTTATTCATTTTCATAGATAATTTACAAAGTGAAGAAAAATTGGAAGAAATAATGAAAAGACAGAACGATGCAATTGAAAATGATGACTATTTCTAGAATAAGTTCGTGAAATATTTCAAAGGCAAAGATTGTTACACTGTATTTGCAGAAATTGGAGGTAAAGTATCAAATAAAATCATCCATTACAATAGTAAAATATAAGGTTTGTTCAGAAAATGAGATGAAATTTCATTTTTCTTGAAAAAAAAAAACTATTCATGCATCAATTTCTATTTTGTTTAGACTATCAATCTTCTCAATTTCGAGTGCCTCCCCTTTCATTCTGGTTTTCTGGTTCTGTATACAAGTGATCTGTTTGCAGTTTTTGACGTCCATGTCACGACCTTTATCAAGGTGGTCTTTTTATAGGACAGAGGTTGTTTTTTTGTTGAGAAGTGGGTGTTTGTGTTGCTCCAATCTGACTGATATTCGCCTATTCGTTTGGCCAACGTATTCTCCGCTGCAATATCCACATGAGATTTTATTGATGTCTTGGTTTCTCAGAATCACTTTGTCTTTCGGGTTGTACAAAAAATTTCTGACGATTCTCGTTGTCTTTTTATATATTGTTTTTAAGTCTTCGTTTTATAATTCTCCCTATTTCATCTGTAACCCTTCTAACATAGGACAGAATGGCTTTTGTTAACAAAAAGGATTTGAAGCTTTAATAACTTCTACTTATTATACCTGAGTTATCATCTTCATGGCTCTACTTAAACTGGACGTTTTATCTTCTTATTTGTTCTTTCATACGGTTAGAACGCCTTAGTACAGTTTTTGTTTTCACCTGTCTTCCAGATGTCTCTTTAAATTTGCCTGTATTGGGGTTACATCAGGTAATTTCCTTTATGTTGGAGTTTCCCTAGTTCCTAGGTTTTAGGTCGACAAGTGAGTTATGACTTTTGAATATATGGATGTTTAGGTTTTCCCAGACGTCCATACGGTCTCCTTTATTGACTTGTTTTATGAGTTTGATGTTTTCTCGTGCGGGAAAGTTATGTTTGTTTTGTATAGCGTGTGTTGCGAGGTTGGATTTATATGTTATTGGTTTTATGTATGCTTTTTTGTGCTCGTCGTACCTTTGGATCAGTTTTTTCTTGGTTTGACCGATATAGAATTTGTTGCAGTCTAATAAGCATTATATGCTGTATACTCCGTTCATGTATATATATGTTTATCTAAGTTTCTTTTTTTGATTAGTTTCAGGATTAGGACAGATTTTCACTATGTCTGCGAATAAAGAAGATAAAGGCAAAAAAATAATTTGAGATTTTTTGGTTTTTCCTGTATATCTCCAGAACCAAAAGAGCTATTATTGATTTTTTTTACATCATTGAATAGGTCTCTAAAATACACAACTCTGCCACGATTTTACCGACACTCTATTTTTTATCGTTTACGAGATCCCCATGTACAGTAACGAATTTGAATAGCCCTGTATATATACAGTGTGACCCATTTTTAATGGAAACACCCCCCTAAAATTTGAAGTTGTAAATCAATTTTAATAATTTTTTTTAATGTCAAGTACTAAAAGGTCTACCTTGGGACAACATTTGAAATGTTTATTAAAGTTTCAGGACATACTACGATATTTTTTATGAGCGATTTTTTTATTGGAAAAATAACTACGCCACTTGATTCACCTGAGTCTGGCTCGCGATAGGCTGCGGATTGTTGGAGTTGAGAATGACACTCTTCACGTTTTGCGTGGGCAGAGAAGCAGCGAGTTGTTCGTTCTGCGGATTGTAGTTGTGTCCGTTGACCATAGGCTGAGCGGAATTCGACTGCGCCTGCGTCGGATAAGACTGCGCCTGTTGGAAGTTCTGGGACACCTGAACAGACGAGGTGGGGACAAAAGCGCTGTTTTGGTTTTGTATCAAGTTGGCGGGAACGTACTGGACGTTTTGGAAGCCCTGCGGTATCGTGAAGGCTGCCGCGTTTTGTACCACGCCGGTTGAGAAGTACGGCTGATTGCCTATGAACTGAGTGGGGATATTATTCTGCACCTGAGGTAGCGTCTGGCTCTGTATATTAGCGACCTGAAAACAAATCATATATACATTTTATTAGCATTCAGCGGGGAATCTGACTGTATCGATGATGATGAATGTAATATTTTTCAATATAATTATTTATTATTTTTACAAACTGATTTTATGTATTAAGTGAAAATTGATCAATTTAAATGCACTTTGTTTTTACATAAAAACTGTATTA